ATATATTTGACACTCAGATGAAATAATTAAATGTCACAGAATTCATTATTACTATGACATAATAAAACAGCATTGCTTCAATGAATTTCTTTTCCGGAAATTTCTTCTATGGTAAAATTACTAAAAGACTAATACAAAAAATTTCTATGCACAAGTTAGAGAAAAATTCTGTGACATTTAATTATTTCATCTGAGTGTCAAATATATTGATCCGATTTTTTCCCTTGTATTTGTGCTTGACTATCGGATAAGAAATGAATTAGACAGTTGTACAACAGATGATTTAGAAATAATGATGACAACGAGAAGACAAATATGTATGGTTCATTAACATTTCTTATGTAAACATAAACGACCTGATCATTCATTATTATCCTTTCCGTTTTTACACAATGAGTTTGTCTTCATCGATAAGAAAAAAGAAAACTTTGTTTTTTGTTTGATCTTTAAGAAGACTTACTTGACGACAAAGCTGCAGCAGATAAACGAATACGTTCTAATTTCGTATAAAAATCATCATATTTTGTCTTATTATTACTGTTCATAAGTCCAGCTCGTCGTCTATCGACACATCGCTGATGTTGTTGCATCCTCTTCTTTTGAATATGTGTGCTCAGTCGTTCGTCGCTTGCACTTACTATTCTCTCTCTCTCTCTCTCTCTCTCTTTGTGAGTATGTGTCTTGGTCGATGTTTGAGTAATGTGAAGAATGATGATGAATGAACGAAGAGTGAAAATGAAGACCGAGAGAAAGAAGAACAAGAGAAACGAGCGTAAAGAACAAGTTAGTTGTGCGTCTACCTTGAATTCTAGAAGATGTAGAGAAAAAAAAGGAGAAGAAAACCTTGGCAATAACACTGTTCGGTACGATGAATGTGAATTGTCTTTTTTTTTCTTACATCATCATTCATTATTCAGTTCAACCTGTCAGACATGTCACGGTTCGACACCCTGATATTTTTATCGCGCCATCTGTTTTACATGCACATATATGATTGATTATTCATTAGCTTAATCTTTTACTTTAATATACGACATGTATTTGATTGTCGATTCGTAAACTATGGAAATAACCTATAGACGTTAATTCTTCATCATTCTTTTTTCTTTCTATAGATCCTACGAAGAGCAAATGGAATAGTCAATCTCTATTGTTCACAATAATTAAAGCGAATATATATGCTATTAAAATATGAAAAAAAAAATCTCCTTTTCTTTTTGTTTTGTTCTTCCTAAGATAATTTTATCCTATTCCATTAAAACAATCGTTTATTTTAATATGAATATGTATAGATGTGAATGTGTCATCGTCTAAATAAAAGGCATATTTATTCTAATTGAATAGTCGGTAGACATTATTTGATGTCAACGAAAGACTAAAAGCATTCTATTCAAACGATAAGTTTACGTTAAAAACTTATTGTTGAACAAAAACAAGTGTTTATATATGAATGAAAAGAAATACAAGAATGATTGTTGAATTTAGAATTGAAGATGTTGTTCGTATATATCAAATTACCTCTTGACATTTTCGTCAATCATTCATCAAGATAAACTTTTTGTAGCAAGTATCTACTAAATAAAATAAATAGATTAAACAATGTGTGAAGAAATTCAATAAAATTTTACATAGATAAAGTTAACTTTTTGTTTATAATATGTAAAGAAGAAAAAAACAGATGTCGATTTCTTTTGTTTTTTGAATGTAGTACAACTTGATGAAGGGATAGAGGAGCTCTCAGTGTCCCTTCCTCGCAGAAGGTATTGAGCTCTCTCTAGAAGGGTTATCAGAATATCCCTGTTCCTTTTACATCTTTTCTCTGGTTACATCACTAATTGAGAAAATGTTGAACTATTTTGCAGTTTTTTTATCATTATGATTTGATGACTTACGCATGAAAATGAATAGTTAGTTATACGACGTTTATATTAGGAGGATGTATGTTATCAATAGGAACTGATTTAAAATAATAATAAAAACAAAATTTATTATTTATCATAGGAAGAATATCCTGAAAAGGTTAGAAAAACTATATTTGAAAACTAAGCTTCTCATTGAAATTAATATCTCAATATGATATATTATAGTAAAAATAATGTTTAATTAATATATTGAATAAATCTATTAGATTTATCCATTGTACCGCAATGATTACATACAATCGTAGATAGAAGATGCACCAATTCCTAGAACACGATGTCAAGGATGACATTTTTTTCCTTATTAAGAATGTAGTTCTCGTTGTATTGCTTATATCAACCATGATCAATTTTTTTCTCTATTTGTAGTTATACTGGGAATTCCTGAAATGAAAAACAAGGATTTCTAAATTGGTCAAAAATTCTCATTTTTTTAGTTTTTCGTCGACTAGTTTAAACTGGTTTTGAAATCTGTCTTTTGCATTAGATAATTACCTTTGTTTATCCTGATTACAAAAGCACATGTCAATAGTATTAAGGTTTTAACGCTCTTTTCAAGTCTATTATTAGATTTTATCTTATACAAAAAGAAACTTCTCAGAACAAGTTAGAATTGGTCGAAGATAAACTAAAAAATGCAAATTGTTGAACTAATGTCAGAACCTTTATTTTATGTTTCAGGAATTTTAACTACATCTTTGGATAGAGAACAAAAACTAATCATAGTTGACATAAACAAAATAAGCGGAACTACATTCTTAGTAAGGAAAAAATATCATTTTTGACATCATGTTCTATAAATTGGTGTCTGTCTAATCGTAGATTATAGTCCAAGTGTATTTTTCAAATAATGTATGTTTTTATTTTCATTTTATTCTCACATTTTTTTGTCACTTTAATAAATCAAATGCAAAAACAATTAGCAATAATTGTTAAGAAAAAAAATAGAAATTGTTACGAATAATTTGACTTGAATAGTATCTAAGTATTTGGTTACATTTAATTTTCATTGTACTATGTCAATGATCGTTACAAAGTACTTTTTTCTCTAATTTAACAGGAAACAATCAATGTTAAAAATGTCGATTATTATCTTTTATAGAAGTAATCTAAATCAAATTAGTTTATTATCTAAACAAAATAAGAATTACTGTTAATATCATAGTTAACTTTAAGATAAGACTTTCTATAGAAACCTATCACAATCATAGAATTCATTTATAATAAGATGTTTGGATATTCATCATATCTTTCTTTGAAAAAAAAGTAATTATGTTCAATATCAGTGTTTTGATTTGTCGAAAATATTAGCACTAAATATGTGCGAGATCAGTTCAAGTCCCTATACCAGTTCTGTAAGCCCGAGTCAAAATTTGAAGATTTATTGGGACCGAACCTAAAAAACCTTGGTAGCGCACATTTCTAGTATGCATCGTTTATTTTCTAATTTGTTATGGCCAACATAATTTTGATTTGAAGGTTTGAAATCAGAATAAACTGTTTACAAACTTTCGAATGACAATTATCAACCGAGAAATCAATAATTGAATGACGATAATTAGTTGCAGTTTAGAATCAGTCACACTTTGAAGAAGAATATACTTATTTTTTCACTTCTCATACACCTACATATGCACACGTGATTTATTAATGCATACAGATGAAGGAGAACAGCATATATAAAAATGAAAATGAAATTCATGGAATGGATAAGTACATAGCCTATGCAGTGGATGATAGTCGAAACTCGACATGTATCTTTTAGATTTATTGAAATATCAAGAAAAAACAAAAAAACAATGTTCTCGATGTCAGTTAGGCTAGCCTAAAAAAAATCGATAATCCTCAAAACAAGGAACATTTTTATGGATTATAGTAAATCTAAAAAATAATAATTATTTTCTCTCATATAACGCTTCCTGTATAACTGTAAGGATTTACCAAAATGTTTCTTGTCTTGGAACATATTATTACTTATTTTCTTGACTAGAAATGTGCCGTCTTGGCATAGATAATGAACAATGAGTTACCAACACAAAGTTCACTAAGGCACTGATTACACTGGTAGCGATGAGTTCTAGTGTTTCAATTAACACTGGTGCCATTGTGTTAATGTTTTTTGATCTCCATCTGAATTATTTTCCTGTAATACTAAAACGATTTTGATTATTTAATTTTTGAGAATTGAAGCTAATTATCCTAGCATCAAACTGTTGCATGCGCCTATAAACATCTGGTTAATGAAAAAATGTCTTAAATGCATGTTCTAAAAATAAAGAATTTCTAATATGGCTTGAATTTCTACTAGTCTTTTATAATTATAATACGCTTTGTTGCTTTTTGAATAGCGTCAGAACGTAAATAGTTATCGAATTCTATCTGTTGCCATTCAAATGAACGAAGTAGAAGACATGAATTATATATAAAAATGAATGAATCAATTCATAAAAGTACTCGATATTTGCATCTTTAAATTCAATTGAAAACTACTAGTAAAATGTCCCTATTATTGACATTTAACTTCATAAGACAACGGATTCAAATGTCAAATATTCACCAAACGATGCGTTTATATCAGTTCAACTCAACAAGAGGAAATGTTGAAGTTGTTCTATTAAGCAAAGAAGGATCTTCTAAGATAAAAAGGAAATTACAAGTTTTTATATTATAAAAATCTATTTTAGCGGTTCTAGAAAAATTTTTTGTTAAGTGACAAATATGCACATTGTTTAAGAGAGTGTTTTTTTTTTTACATAGATTTGCATCTTCCACTTCATTCTTCCGCATAGTTAAAATCACAAGTATTTAGCACTTACGTTCTATTATTATTCAAAAAAAAATAGCAGAAAACATTATATTTCTAAATGACTAGTCGATCATTCATGAGCTATATTATCTCTTCTATATATAATTACGTTGTTCAATTGATTCATAACAAAAGAAAGTACACTTTAAGAAATAGGATTTCTTTTTTTAATAATCATGTCTCTCATTTTCCCTAGATATTCTTTACAAAAATGACATTACTCAAATTATTTGCATGTATGCATAAATAAAGAAATAATTCGAAAGAAAATATTCGCATGAGAACATAAACTGATCAAATTACCGTCGTTTTATTTTGTTTTAATTCATTTTATTTTACTTTCTTCAAGTATGACGTCAATTTAAATTTTGTCTTATATGATACATATTGTTAAAAAATAAAAAAGAGAAAAAAAAAAAGACTAAAAGAAATTACTTTTCCTTTTTTTTCTCTTTTTGTTTTTTTTTCCGGAATCTCTAGTAAAAAAAGAAAATTGTTGATGTTTTCTCATAGTAATGAAAAGTGAGAATCTCGTGATGAGACAAGAAAAATATCAAGACAAAAAAGATATTGTAAAAATGATAAGGCAGTTTTCACTAGATATATGAGAAGGAAAACATCGACAGGTGAGTATTTAATAATCAAATATTGAAAATAGTAACGTGAAATGCTATCATTTAAATACAGGAATAGACACAAGATTATTATTACTTTTTTTGACATTACTTCCGATAAAAGACAAATGTCGTCAATTAAATCAGTTAAATTTGCTGGCACAATATCAAGTAATAATAATGATTCTCGTATTATTATTAATGTTGGTGGAACAAGATTTGAAACACAACGAACAACATTGAAAAAATTACCAGCTACACGTTTATCAAAATTAACACCACAACTATCATATTATGATCCAGTACTAAATGAATATTTTTTTGATCGACATCCTGGTGTTTTTTCACAAATACTTAATTATTATCGAACTGGTCGACTTCATTATCCAACAAATGTTTGTGGACCTTTATTTGAAGACGAACTTAATTATTGGGGTATACAACGAGAAGAAGTTGAACCTTGTTGTTGGTAAATATTATAGATAATAAATAAAAACAAAAAAGCTTTTTTTGTGGGTATTTTTTCTCTATTTTCAGGATGACTTATACAAAACATCGATCAACACAAGAAACATTACAAATATTAGATTCATTAGAATTAGATACAGTTCGATCAACACCTGATGATATTATTAAAAAATTTGGTTGGGAAAATGATGAGAATTTAATTAGTACTGGTCAGTTATCTGTACGTAAACGTTTAATAAGTATTATATGGCAATTATTTGAAGAACCAAGATCATCAGTAATGGCTAAAGTAAATGAAATTAATTTTTTATAATATAATTGTGTTTGAAAATAATCATTGTCAACTTGAATCAATTTGTTTTAAATATCAAGTCATGTTTTGAATTTTATTTTCCTAAGAGAAGCTTCGGGCGTTTTTCCCGATCGAACATTTTAAAATTATTCATTTTAGTTTTTTTTTCTCTGCTCTAAATACCCTTCGGATTATCTTCTATTTACTGTACTTGTTTCAAAAATTACTATACGTGTACTTATAATAACCGAAAAAGGTTGAATATTATCACTAGCGAACATCAATTTTTACTGTTTTTTGAAAAATGTATTTATACTAAAAAGTGTTTACGGTGTCTAATTTTATTTTTGTTTCAAAATATGATATACCACTAGTTGGCCGTAGTTTACAAAAAAAGAAAGTTCAAGTTAAAAAAACAAGCATGTTCAAGGGTAGTTTTATTTGAATGAAAGAGTATAAAAAGCAGGCAACCGAAATTGTCTCTATTATTTGAAGAAAAAAAATATAGTCCTATTGTAATTGAGACAAGTAAGCTGATAAGAAAGAAGGGGGCGGGGGGGGGAGAGGACATATCTCGTCCTCGTGACTCTAATATCTCCTATAGAGATGCATCCGGAAATTGTGAGTTTATGGTAAATTTTGCTTGATTCATCAAGATCTATCTGTCGTGAAACTTTAAAAGTCTAAAAGCATCAGAAACTGGAAAGTGGAGGAGGTTTTCTCAATCGAAACTATCTGCTGGACTCGAATATGAAACTACTTCGAATTTCAAGAAGATTTCTTTTGTTTTGAATGTGTATTAATTTTTTTTCCATCCTGATAAGAATCTGTTACTTACTCTATGTGAGAATGCGTGCAGACATAGGACAATAAATAGATCTATTAACTTTGTTTGTTCTCGAACCATTAAGGATAAATATATAAATATCTTACAGTCCATGAAAGGATCAGATGATCGAACTATTCGAGATATTAAATGTCTATTAATTAGAATATATCTCAAGTTAAAATCTTCTTATTTAACTATTCTCTAATTATCTTTCTATCAACTGAAATCTTAGTAGGATAAGCATCATTCACATCATCAGTAAATCGTACTCTGTGAACATTTTCTTTCGTCTCATTAATGACCTTTCTTTTTCTATGAATAACATAAAAAAACAGTTGAAAATATTCTCGTATAAGTTTAAAATCAAATATTACATATTAGTATATTGCTATGATTAATAAGAGAAGAAGCAATAGGATAATAAAACTACTTATATAAGGTCTTTGTTTTCTTTTTTAACTCTATCACGTGAAACCAATAAATTGTGAATTGGTATTTTGAAGAAAATTTCTTAAAATTGTTTCTTTTTGTTTTTGTTTTCGAAATTTATAGATAATTGCTGTTATATCAATGTTTTTTATAATTGCTTCAATTGCTTTATTTATTCTTCGTACATTACCAGTATTTCAAATAGCTGAATATGATACTCTAACTGCGT